ATTTAAAATGAAATTCCTATGGGTGTATGGTAAAGCTCCATGAAAATTTTATATAGATCCTGTTTTGATGTAAGCTCATTTAGCATCTTCTCGAGTTGCCTAATTGACATGAGGTAGGCTTACTTATCCTCTAGGGAGGATAGTATCTAGTGGTGCATGATTTTTCTATCCATTGGCGATAAGGGAACCATAAGCGAGGATTTAAATGCAAGTAATTGCTTTCTTCTTTCTTTTAAACTATACGCTCTTCATTATGATTTCTTCATTTGGAACCACGTAGTTGTTTAAATTTGAGCAATCGTGTTTTTCGTCCTTTCAAAGTTTATGCCCTTCAGTGTGATTCCTACATTTGGAACCAGATGGTTGAAAAACAGAATCCAATTTGCTGCCCAGATTTAAGCAAATGTGTATATAATATTATTAACGACACATACATGTGTCTGCCAGTCACATGCACGTTGTTCTTAAATTGTAGTTTCTCTGTAGTTTGTGTAGTTTTATATAGCACTAAGAAGAAAGTAGAAAACTATGCACCAATAGTAGCTGCCATTATAGCTTAAAAGCTCAGTTCAATAGTTCGACCATCTAATTATCATGTTGTTTATTTTTATTATATTTTAAGAACACTTGTAATATAGAAACTTATGGCTTTCGTTATCTCCTCCAGGGAGCTTTTGTTTGGAGCTCCAAGGCATTGGTTTCTGAGGTAATACTCTAATGCGCAACTCAAGCTCCTCATGTAGTTCAGGATTTTTGTCGAGCATATCAGAATTTCATTGGTAATTCTACAAAATGTTTTTGGTTAAATTTGTCACTGTTGACTTGAAAAATCATAGCGCCCTTCCTTTTCCTTCTATTTCTTGGATCCTAAATATGCATTGCTCCCCCTTGACCTCGAAAATGTGTTTCGGGTTATATAGATTATAGACTGTCATGAGAAACCAAATGCTTTTGAATGTGATTTCATGTACAAATTGTCAAAATCTAAGCATGTTCGAGCTCATCCTCCCTTTGGATTTATATCTGATGATTACATAGTTATATAGTTGAATACAATTTTATATGTATTTGTATCTTTCTGATTCTGCGAGTGTAATATAGATCAAAGCTTCACAAAAAGAAGTTGAGCAGATGCTACGAGAACATAGGTATGCCCCGCCAGATGAAAAATATCCTTCCCCACCTTCGTTTTTTGGTTCTTCATTCTTTTTCTTTTCTATTTTCGGGACTGGGATTCTTGTTTATCAACCCAGAGATAATATGAGTTCATGCCGTCCTGTTTGCATTAAGGTGGATGGTACTGAGGACTGACCAATTCATTATTCAAACTCTTGGTATTTTGTGTCCGCAGATCAACTTCTATGCAAGGTAAACTGTTGAAGCACAATCTTGATTCGCAAGTTGTCGATGCTCTCAAGGATCTCAGAGATAAGCTATCTGAAAATGCATTACATAGCTGAAAGAAAAACTTGGGACGAGTTGGGAAATACTAACGATGGTTCCGTTGCTCTCTATTTTTGAATTGATTGGCACGGATAGTTATGCTAGATTATGTATTTCTCTGTACAGGAATAATGCACTATAATTCATTTTCCCTTTGTTAAAATCAACAGTTCGTAAAACAAGAAATTAAGCTTTATTTTACGGGAAAAATTCATATTTAAGGTGTATTCTTTACACCATTTCAAAATTCAGGTAAAATGTTTGAAAATTTAAAATTCAGGTTTAGATTTAATTAATTAATAATATTTATTAAATAAATATAATAAAGTCACGGTTAAACAATTAATAGTCACATATTTTTTTAAAGGTCACATAATATCAAATTAATTGGTCACATATTATTTCGAGATCACAAATGGAAAATCTTGTAGGTCAGATTATTTCGAGGTTACAAATTAAAAATTTATAGGTCACGGATTATTTTTTAGTCACAGATCATCAAATTTTAAAGTCATAGACCAGATCGTTGAGGTCACATATTATTTTTTAATCACTGATCATCAAATTTTAAGGTCACAGACCACCAAAAAAAAAAAAAAAAAAAAAAAAAGGAAAAACACCGACAATCAACCAAAACCACCAACTTGTATCACCACAACCGCCGCTGTTGCACACCACCCTACCAAACACCACCACCCGCATTGTACCAACAGAATTGACTTCTACCCACATTGTACCAACAAAACTGCACACATACCACAGATCGACCACCTCCACCACCTGCATCAACAACCATCATCACCATCCACAACGCACCAATACATTCAAAACAACCACCAAACGCCGACCACAACCAGACCACCACCACCGCCATCCTACCTAGATCCATTACACTTGGCACTGCATGAAGTCACCAAAGCCACCCACATCCACGCTGGATAGAGAAACTGTTTGCAAACCATCCCCAACCGCCGAAATCACAGATCAAAAAATGGCAACAGTTGCGTCAGATCCACCACTACACCATCGTAAACACCACACCACACTACACAAAACATCATCCAAACCTCGCGGCAGTGGTTCCTGTGCTGCGTCGAAGCGACGAAGTGCTTCAAAACGGCGAGCGACCGTGGGTTAACGGGAAAAAATGAGGAGAGAAGATGCTGATTACTGTGTGAAATGAATTTGGATCTTGCTATGTATACTCGGCAATTTACACGGGCCCACCTTGCCCCTCACATGGGGCGAGGCCCCACATCGGGACCCATGAGTGGGACCCGACCCCCATGTGAGGGGGCGCGTGGGCTCGAGTAACTCAGTGTGTAAATCGTCGGGTACAAATTGCTTTTCCCAATGAATTTTAGGGCCGAATTGAGGATGAAATATTTTGTATTAATATTAATAATTAAATTCATACCTGAAATCTGCATAAAAAATCATCTCACCTCATTTTTGCACTGAGATCTTTAAAAGTCGGGAATTTTGTAATTTCCACTTATTTTACAATACATTTGTGTCATGAGCCTCGTGACAAAGTTTGATCCTTTACTATTATGGGCCGGGGCTTAGTGATTACATAGTTGGGTTCATCGTGGCCCAAATAACATTAGGTAAGAGTGTCTAAACATGGCCCAGTCCTCCATCAACCCGAATATGTTCGGCACATATCTGGCTATTGTAGGGCTGGACGGATGGGCCCCACCAGCCCAT